TCCACAGAGAACACCTGTTACAGGTAAAGGAGCCCGTTCACTTCCTGTTTAACTCTGTGTGTTGGTGGTCAAGAGGAAACGCGTAGCGATGAAGAGGCGACAAATACAGCACCTTTACCACAAACAGCAGCATCATCATCAGTAAACTCAGGGAGGCTCACCTGCAGAGTTTTTCCTCAGGTCGTCAGACAGCTGGTAGTTCTGAGTCCGCAGCTCCAGCAGCTGAGCCTGCACACACACACAGAGACACACACACAGTGACACAGAGAGACACAGAGAGACACACACAGTGACACACACACAGTGACACAGAGAGACACAGAGACACACACAGTGACACACACACAGTGACACAGAGACACACACAGTGACACACACACAGTAACACAGAGAGACACAGAGACACACACAGTGACACACACACAGTGACACAGAGAGACACAGAGAGACACACACAGGGACACAGAGAGACACACACAGTGACACAGAGAGACACAGAGAGATACACACAGTGACACAGAGAGACACAGTGACACACACAGTGACACACACACAGTGACACAGAGAGACACAGTGACACACACAGTGACACACACACAGTGACACAGAGAGACACAGAGACACACACAGTGACACAGAGAGACACAGAGACACACACAGTGACACAGAGAGACACAGAGACACAGAGAGACACAGTGACACACACAGTGACACACACACAGTGACACAGAGAGACACAGAGACACACACAGTGACACACACACAGTGACACAGAGAGACACAGAGACACACACAGTGACACAGAGAGACACAGAGACACACACAGTGACACAGAGAGACACAGAGACACAGAGAGACACAGTGACACACACAGTGACACACACACAGTGACACAGAGAGACACAGAGACACACACAGTGACACAGAGAGACACAGAGAGACACACACAGTGACACAGAGAGACACACACAGAGACACAGAGAGACACACACAGTGACACAGAGAGACACAGTGACACACACAGTGACACACACAGTGACACAGAGAGACACAGAGACACACACAGTGACACAGAGAGACACAGAGACACAGAGACACAGAGAGACACAGTGACACACACAGTGACACACACACAGTGACACAGAGAGACACAGAGACACACACAGTGACACAGAGAGACACAGAGAGACACACACAGTGACACAGAGAGACACAGTGACACACACAGTGACACAGAGAGACACAGTGACACAGAGAGACACAGAGACACACACAGTGACACAGAGAGACACAGAGAGACACACACAGTGACACAGAGAGACACAGTGACACACACAGTGACACACACACAGTGACACAGAGAGACACAGAGACACACACAGTGACACAGAGAGACACAGAGACACAGAGAGACACAGTGACACACACAGTGACACACACACAGTGACACAGAGAGACACAGAGACACACACAGTGACACAGAGAGACACAGAGAGACACACACAGTGACACAGAGAGACACAGAGAGACACACACAGTGACACAGAGAGACACAGAGAGACACACACAGAGACACAGAGAGACACAGTGACACACACAGTGACACACACAGTGACACAGAGAGACACAGAGACACACACAGTGACACAGAGAGACACAGAGAGACACAGTGACACACACAGTGACACACACACAGTGACACAGAGAGACACAGAGACACACACAGTGACACAGAGAGACACAGAGAGACACACACAGTGACACAGAGAGACACAGTGACACACACAGTGACACAGAGAGACACAGTGACACAGAGAGACACAGTGACACAGAGAGACACAGTGACACACACACAGTGACACAGAGAGACACAGAGAGACACACACAGTGACACAGAGAGACATAGTGACACAGAGACACACACAGTGACACAGAGAGACACAGTGACACAGAGAGACACAGAGACACACACAGAGACACACACAGTGACACACACAGTGACACAGAGAGACACACACACACAGTGACACAGAGAGACACACACACACAGTGATACAGAGAGACACACACACAGTGATACAGAGAGACAGAGACACACACACAGACACACACACACACACACACACACACACAGAGACACACACACACACACACACACACACACACACACACACAGACACACACACACTTCATGTTTAATCCTTGATCAATTAAAGTCTCTCTCTCAATTCAAATTAGCTTTATTCGCATGAATGTATGACGACAATAAAGCCCTCATCATAGAAACTACTTTATTATTAATGCAGATATTTTCCACAGAGCAACAAGATTTAAATCCCAGCAGCAAAACACAGCAGCAGCATGTTGCCGCCCAGGCACACAGATTAAAGGGATGTAAACATGAGTGAAAGCTCTGCTGTTTCTGACTCCTTCATATTTTACAGGCTGAAATGGAACAAAAGTGTTTTAAGGTGGAAGCTGTTAAACTCCAGGTGTTCCGGGGGCAGCTGGAGCTCCAGGTCAACATGAGGCTGCAGGACTTCATATAAACACGTTCAGAAACAGGCTGGAAGCGGAGTGAAGGACTCTGGGTAACACTGCTGTCTGCAGCTAGCATGCTAACAGGCTAACAGCCATCTTATTCATCAGAGTAATTAAAGCCAACACCCCGCTGGGTGCGTGCGCGTGCGTGCGTGCGCCTCACTCAGACCCCGTGACTCTGCCCGGTCCCGTGGATGCTAACATGTTAGCTAACTGACAGACGAAAATAAGGGTTGGCAGCTGGAAAGCTACAAAGCTAAGTTAGCTGACAGAGCTAGCATCCTGAAGTGGACTGTCAGCGAAAGGAGCTCGTGATCATTCAGACCGAGAACCAGAAGCTCATCCAGGCGGTGTTCGGTTCCTAACGTCCCCCCTCTGCCGCTACACACCGCTAACTCACGGCTAACGTTAGCATCAGCGAGCTAACGTCCCTGACAGTGATGCCGCACCTGGCTGCTGTTTGACAGGTGTCACTCACAGACATAACAGCTACCTGCCGCGAGCCCACCGACCTGAAAATACAGCTGCCGCGTTTTGTTCTTACCTGCATCCGATGAAACTCCTCCTCTGACAGAGCCTGCGACATGGTTACCTGGGCTGCTAGCAGGCTAAGCTAGCGGAGGAGACGACAGAGAGCAGCCGCAGAGGAGGAGACGGGAAGAGCTCTCACTCCGACGCCGTTTCAGAGAACCAGAGAGAAACTGCGGGAGACGGGAAGAGCTCTCACTCCGACGCTGTTTCAGACAATTATTTTACTCTGCAGGAACCTGGAATACTTTCAGATCAGACAGTCGGCTGTGAAGAAAATAAAACATGAACCCCGAACCCAGAGTCCTGAATCCTCAAACTCAGCTGTTATCACCTGGTCAGTGCTTCAGTGTGAGAGGCTGTGGAGGTTTGAAATGGCTTAATGGGGCCACGATGCAACATATCACGTCACGTTAACCTCTAAAATATTACTTTCCTGGGCAGCAAACATAAATGTAAATGCAGTAAGTGATTTCGCACCAGTAATCAGGGTTTCTAACCATCAGCCATGTTGTCTGCACTGTTTCTGCCTGCATGGCATCAACAACTTGTGTCATAAACTTTTCTCAGACTTTCCGAGTCTCGTGTCACGTGAATATTCTGATTATTCTGACACCACATGATGCACAGATTTTAAGAATGGGATCAAACCTTGTGAACACAGACAGACGAGAACGAGAGGAGGAACTAATCACACCAAAGGCCGCTCTGTTCCGTTTAAGGGTTTCAGAGAATCAGCCAAGGCTCCATCTGCACCAGTTTAAAGACAGAGTTTTAAACGGAAACGATCTCCGTCCTCAGCAGCGTGTTAGCTGCGTATCAGAGCTGATCTCGTAGTTACAGAAGATTTGGTGAAAGAATAAAGAAATGCAGATGAAGAACCAGATTTTATTTTGCATGGACCAATAACGAGCTGGGACTGTTACTGAATGGAACGCGGGAGTTAAAAGCGGCCATGGCGCCGGGAAACCATGTTCACCATAATAATTCCTGTAACTATGTAAATATTGTACATATCCACACATTGTATATTTTTACTCTTTATATATTTATATTCCTTTTGCCCTTTGTGCAATGTGACACAGAATTTCCTCTTGGGGATCAATAAAGTATTTCTGATTCTGGAAATAAGCTGCGAGTCGTCGCAAAGTAAATACGAAGACATGCAGAGAACAAGTGTAGAAGTTTTATTTACACGGTACAGAATATTATAATAAAACTCAAAAACTCTGTCAGCAGCATTGTGTTTCTGCTTTGCATGAATGATAAGAGCCAATCAGAGAGCCGAACGTGAGCGTCTGCGTCTAAAACGCAAAACGGGGTCGGCAGCGTTTCCAAACTTCTCTGTTTTAAACCAAAGCGCGGCAGTGTGGGCGGGGCCTAAATGATACGCAACCCTGTTTGTGTTATTCAGTACACCTGCTCTTCTTATCTTGGCCCAGCGAGATCTAAAGACATCATGTTTGTGCTCGTTGAGTCCAACAACCCTTGGCCTCACACGAGGACGTAGGACCTGCTCTGGCCGCCTGCGGCCCCCGACGCTGTGTGTGGAAGCACTTTGGTTCGGTTTCTTTGTTTGAATGACTGCTGGGTGTTTGTGGCTGTTTCTGTGCGGCAGAGGTCAGAGGGGCGTTCCTCCGCCTGCCGGGGTTGAACATCTGACTCACCTGCTGCTCATTTCTAATCACTCGGCTCAGCGTCCACTCCCCGCCACATCGTTGAGTAATCACCCGAATGTCTTTGACAGCCCAACCTGGAACTGATACTTAACCAGCTGTCTGTTGGCTTTTGAATCAATAAATCACCTTAAACTTCCACACCAGCTAAAGGGGGCTGGCACGCTGTGACATTCCTTTTCAGGGCGTGGCCAGTTCACACACAGTGTCTGATATGAGCCACATTTACAAGAGAGTGTGAACAGGTGACAAACCAAACAGTGTCTGGCTGAATGTCCCCATGCTGCCTGCAGACACACAGGAACAGAGCGTCGGCACGTTAGTGGTGTAATCAGCTTTAACGTTCTGTTATTTCACTCAGAGTTTCGTCACGTTTCCTGCTGCTGGTCTCTGGTGCACCAGAGGGGCTGGTCAGCTGGTGGTGAATGATTAACTAACAGGGTTAAGGGCCGAGGCAGAAGTGAGAGAGAGAACTAAGAGAGAGAGAGAGAGGTGTGTTTCACTTTCAGCCTGCAGCTCAGACTCAGTCGCCTCGGCTGCTGGATGTGACTGGATGTGACTGGATGTGACATGGAGCTGCTGCCCTCCCTGCTGTCCTCCCTGAGGACTGTGGACCTTGGGACTCTGGACCAGGAGTACGGCGTGAGTCCTTCTTTAGAGCTGCAGGACGCTTCACAGCGGGCAGGCTTAAATTTAGGCTTAGACCTGAGTCTAGGTTGCGGTTGTTGTGTCTGCTGGCAGCGAGTCCTGAGCACAGAGATGTTGGTCTGATGTGTATTTAACAGAAAGTGGCGTGAGAAAACATGTTTGAGGTCAGCTGATGGTTTCTGAACACACGCTCCTCTGTGTTCTCTTCACCTGTTTGTGGATGATTAACTCCTCTCTGTTTCCTGCTGCACACGGTCTCTTCCTTTCCTGGAAAAACCAGGTCTGATCTGTAAAGTCTTTGTTTAAACGAGCTGCAGCAGATCGTCTGATAACCTGAGTGACGTCAGGCTGCTTCGTGCGAAGCTGAACTCAGTCTGTAGACTCCTGATTCTGAAGCAGGACCCGGGGAAGGAACTCTCGGGGTCCTGCTGAGCCCGGTTCTGCTGAGTGTCGGCGTCTGCGTGGACTCTCTCTCAGCCGGGTGTTGGCGAGGACGTGACGTCCACAGAGTAACCTGCAGTTTTAAAGTTTGCTGTCTGCACACAAACCTAAATTCAGAATGTTGACTTCCACCTTGTGACAGAAGTCTGTATTTATTATTACTTATCTTTGGCGAGATTGTAGATAAACACAGGTCTGATCTCAGAGAGGCAGCGCGGCCTCGTGGCCATCAGACTAAAAATAAATCTGATTTATAATTGGTTGCTGTCAGATGCTGTGAACTCCTCCGCGGTCAGAAGATGAAACTCTGCTCTGAACGCAGCCTCACCTAGAAAAGCTTCCTTCTGTGGGGAGCGTCTCACGTCTCACGTCCTCTCACCCAAAACCAGCCGCACTGCGTCTGAAATATCAGCGCTGAGAAACTTTCGCTCTGCACGGTCTCTGCTTTTCTCCCCCACACCGAGACGTGTCTCAGGGTTAGGTCTGTGTGGACCATTCTTCGTGTCCTCGTCCTGTCAGGGTTATTGAACGCTGTGTCCACACGGAGACGTCTCAGGACTGAAGGAGGCTCAGAGCAGTTCTGTTGCTCTGCTACTTGGAATCCATTTTAAAAAATGACTCTGGTGATTCCCAGCATGCCCCTGAGATCCGATCAGGTACCCAAACCCTGGCTCCTGTAGCGGCAGTGGGCCCCCGAATACCAGGGAGGCCCAGCTGAACAGTAACTCTGTGACTGCAGAGGTCAGAGGCCGGCGCTCAACATCATTTGACTGAATTCATAATTTTCATTCAAACGTTTGCAGCGGTGGAAAGTAAATTTACTCAAGTACTGCACTAAAGTACAATTCTGAAGTTCTTGCACTTTACTTGAGTATTTCCATGTTATGCTACTTTACACTTGTACTCCATGTATCGTACTTTTTACTGCTCATTTAGTGACAGATTACTGAGACAACATGATCAAGAACAGGTTGAGCTGCAGCAGTAACTGCTCGTTCTGAAGGAAGCTTTGGAAAGCAGAAGTGCAGTATTTTTACACTCTGGCAGTAGTACTGCTCACAGAGAGTATACTGTGCTGTGTGCACTCTGGTTTGCATAAATGTAAAAGAAGAACAGCCGGAAAAGTTTCTGTCCAGGATCTCTGCAGAAAGAACCCCTGAATCTGTCTTCAGACCGACACCGCGAGCAGAACGCTATGGAAACGACCTCTCTGAGAGTGGGCATCTCTGCCCTCAGCCCAGTCTGACGGGACAGCTGACGGCAGCTTCTGTCTGCTCGTCCATCACCGTCTTGTTCTGTCCTCGTTGAAATATTTCCCATTTCTGCATGAGAATCTGTTTGTCATCTTCTTTGTTCGTCAGTTAAATATCTGTGTGTACCTCGGCTAAGAAACATTGATCAGTCAGCACCGCGGGCTGGACAGACACAAGTGTCCTGCTCTGTTTGAGCATGCTCAGTAACCTTCCCTCAGGCTGAGCGCCGCAGGTAACGTCTCAAACTGATGCCTCCTAATTTAAATGTCCTGAACAGTGTTCTTTCTGATCATGTGACCGTCTGTGGCCACAGGTTGTCCTCCTTTTCATTTCCTGTTTCACAGAAGAAGACAGCAGGGACTCGGTTTCAGAGCAGGACGCTTACAAACAGGGAGCACTGAGCCCGAGTCCTGCTTCCTCATTCGGTCCCTCTCGGGTCGGTTCTGCACTGCCGGGCCGGAGCTGCTTCCTTCTTGTTCCTGAGATGACTCACCTCTGAATGCGTGCTGTAGCCGTGAATCTAAATGATCCCCTGGATCAGCCGCACAGGAAGCTCAGCTCATCGAGGCGGAGGTTGGACCGCCCATCGGGTGACGCCCTCATCACCTCACCGATCCCGACCTCGAAATTCAAGATGGCTGCTCCGAGCGTCGACAGAGTGAAAGCTGACGTGATATCCTGTTTATCACACTTCAGTCATGCACACTTCCCGTCCACCTTGTCTTTGCGGAAACGTTGCTGCGCCGTTGTTGAAGGGGTTTCCATCTTGGTTTTCCTACTTAAATCTGTTGCACGTTCAGTGTCAAAATGTTTCCGGGTTGACGACACGTTTCCTCTAAAGGGGGGTCTGAGGTAGCTTTTCTCAGAGGTGACACCCAGTCAGCTGTGACGTGCATGTAAACACCTGCGTGTTAAAAAGGCAGTGAAGTGCACAGCAGGGAGTTCAAGGCGCCCCAGTCTCTGCCCAATTAAACACTACGTTTTAACAGGGCTGAGTTCCCAGCGCCAACTCCAATTTCCGAGCTAAATGGAACGCACCATTATTGAGCTATTGGCTTTTTAAACAAAATGGGACTGGACCTGTGAGATTTGATGGAAAGGTTCTGGTAACCCAGGGACCCAATGGGGGGAGGGGCCCTTTAAAATCCTGGAGTGAAAAGTTTATGTTTGTTTTGCAATGTTTTATTTGTAAGCTAGTAGTTTCATAACTACGCTGTAGACTGAGACTGTGAGAGACTGAACTGAAAAACTAAAAAACAGTGGAGGCCCTGAGGCCCCTCACACCCCCCTCAAAAGGCACCAAATGGAATGCGGAAACATAAGATGTCTGACTGTCCCTGAATGCACCAACAGGGAGATGCCGCCGTATAGAGAGCCAATCAGAAGCTCACATGGCAGATAACTGCTGAAGCAGGGCTGGGTTTTCTCACTGTGTGAGTTTCATGACTTCTGAACTACAGAACTTATCTGTACAGACATTTTACCCATGATGCCACAGGGTTGACGTATCCATGGTAACCTGGTTTCTGGTCCTTCTGGTTCAGGTCTTGCTCAGGTTCTGATGCCTCGGGTCACAAGGCAGCTGAAGCATGTGAGGTCTTTGAAAGCATCACAGTGTCCCTGGACGTCATGGTGCATTTAAAGACTGATAATCAGGAAAACCGAAGCTTTTAATGATCATCACGTGTTAGAAACTTCACAGACATCTCTGCAGTTTTACATCACTCAGCACACGTTAGTTTGTAATGACTGGAATCATGACGACGAACGTCTTCATGGACGCTTTCTTCCTTTTAAACGTCCACACAGTGTTTTCATCGTGTCGTAGGCTTTATGTTAGAAGCTTCTGTTGCACGCTGTAACGCTGTGTGTCTGTGTGTGTGTGTGTGTGTGTGTGTGTGACAGGTGGTGCGTTCACAGACCTTGGTGATAAAAAAAGACCCCAGTTTGACGTCTGAGGCCGGAGCTCTGAAGGAAAACCTCAAGAAGAACAGATACAAAGACATCTTGCCATGTAGGAACTCACCTGCTTCCCTGTGTCCTCATTTCCTTCCTTCCTTCCTTCCCTCCTTCTCTCTCCCTGGCCTTCCTTCCTTCCTTCTCTTTCCCTGGCCTTCCCTCCTTCCTTCCTTCCTTCCTTGCCTTTCCCTGGCCTTCCCTCCTTCCTTCCTTCCTTCCTTGCTTCTCTCTCCCTGGCCTTCCCTCCTTCCTTCCTTCCTTCCTTGCTTCTCTTTCCCTGGCCTTCCCTCCTTCCTTCCTTCCTTCCTTCCTTCCTTCCTTGCTTCTCTCTCCCTGGCCTGCCTTCCTTCCTTCCTTCCTTCCTTGCTTCTCTTTCCCTGGCCTTCCCTCCTTCCTTCCTTCCTTCCTTGCCTTTCCCTGGCCTTCCCTCCTTCCTTCCTTGCTTCTCTCTCCCTGGCCTTCCTTCCTTGCTTCTCTTTCCCTGGCCTTCCCTCCTTCCTTCCTTCCTTCCTTCCCTCCTTCTCTCTCCCTGGCCTTCCCTCCTTCCTTCCTTCCTTCCTTCCTTCCTTCCTTCCTTCCTTCCTTCCTTCCTTGCTTCTCTCTCCCTGGCCTTCCTTCCTTCCTTCCTTCCTTCCTTCCTTCCTTCCTTCCTTTCGTCCAGACTTTCCAAGCCGAGTAGAGAACAAACCTGCTTGATGTGATGAAGCTTCTGTATCTTCAGATAAAAAGTTTTTCTCTACAGTATCTGAAGCTGTCACATAGATGTAGAAGTAACTGAGATGTACAGAGCAGAAGTAGAAAGTATTAGAAAATTACCTGGAGACTGTACTGAACAGCAGGTATAATTACAGATCTGTTGTTTCCGGTTCAGTCTGCAGGCCTCAGCCTCCAGATCTGGTTCTTTGATTGACAGCTGAGATTAAAGTTTGAACTGTCCGCGGTGATGATGTGCAGATAAGTGTGAGACCAGCGTTTCCTGTTCTTGGATCGATACTCGTATAAAAGGATCAAAATCTAAACTCGGCCATTTGGAGTGTGAGCGGAGCTTCTTTAATTGAGCCTGTGCAGCTCTCTACGTGTCCCCGACTGAACCCTGACTCTGCTGACTGTGATGCACCTCTGGCCGTGTTTTAGCTCTGAAGCTAATAGCGACGCTGTGTGTGATGTGTCTGCAACGACAGTGAAATACTCGCTCAACATCTGAGATTAAGACACAATAATACGACGATGTTATGAAGTTCTGACATGGAAGTGGCTCGAATCAGAACTGGAGCCGATCATGTGACCTGTTAGAAACAAACCGGATCTGAGTCGCTGCGTCCTGCGGTCTGAACGCAGTGTGAGACGGACGTGAAAAGTTGTGAACCGGGTGATGCTGATACTGATGCTGTTTGTGTGTGTGCAGACGACCAGTCTCGGGTGGTGCTGTCTCTCCGGACCTCAGACTCTGACTCTGACTACATCAACGCCAGCTTCATCAAGGTGAACACTTCTATCTGACAGCTTCACTTACTTTTCGCAAAACAAAGGAAGAGATTAGAAAATGTGATGTGTTGCTATGAATTAAACTCCCCGGTGTCAAAGGTAAAAAAAAGAAAATAGTGTTAGACAGAACAGAACACAGACGTCGTCCCGCCCTGTAAAACGTAAATGTGGTGGAAACAGCACAAAGGCACTGGTCAGATGTGGAACTGATCCTTTGTTTGTAATGATGGTGTTTGACCTGCAGGGGGCCTCAGCAGACTGCAGGTACATCGCCTCTCAGGGCCCCGTCCCCTCCACGCTCACCGACTTCTGGAGGATGATCTGGCAGCACGACATCAAGGTCCAACACACACCATGAAGGACTCATGTCCGGGAATTAGTCTGTGCCACCTGAAACTCTGCAGCTTAGTTTGAAAGACTTTAGTTAATTTAATTTAATGAGCCTAAAGTTTCAGATGCGATCGGGAGGCTCTGACTAATGTGTTTGTGTGTTCCAGGTGATAGTCATGGCCTGCAGAGAAATAGAGATGGGAAAGGTAAAGAGATAAAAATAAAAACACAATTCTTTTCACCGAACCAAGCGAGGTTCGTATTGACTGAGAACATCTTCTCACCAGTTTCTTTATTTTTATTAGAAACAGAAAAGATCAAATGTTCCATTGAAGGTTCAGCAGGAAACTCTGGCGCTCCTTCTTATTCAAACAACAGACTTTAATCTACAGCAGAGGAAATAAAAGCATGAACCCACCTTGTGGGTTTGGCGGGCGGGGCTTAGCAAAGTGATGCGAGCAGCGGAGAGAGGCAGTCAGAGTCCAAACTAAGGTAGAACAATCTAAACAGGTTGTGAACAGAGAGCAGGGGCAGAACACGAGGAGACTGAGCAGGTGAGACACATCAGGGGTCATTACTGGGAACAGTTTGTAAGAATCTTCTTTAGTGTGTTGTGAGTCGTTCTTTAACCTTCTGACATGTGATGCAGCAGGAAGTCGTGCGTTTACCTTTCACGCTGCACATGAACGTGTTAACGTGACCTGTGGCGGTTTTCTGTCCTCTGCAGAGGAAGTGTGAGTGTTACTGGGCTGCAGCTGCTCAGTCTGCCGCGTTTGGACCCTTCACTGTCTGCAACGTGAGGACACACCCACACCTTCATCATCTTCATCTTTATCTTCATCTCCACACACACTGAGCTCATTCAGCTTGATGCTGTTACCAAGGAAACCAGCTGACTCACTTTTTCCATCAGTGACTCCAGACAAACGCTGAGCTTCAAAGCTGTTGTTCCTGTGTGTTTCCAGCAGGGGGAGACGCGTCCTAATGAAGACCTGGTGGTCCGAGAGCTGACTGTCACACACAAGCAGGTACGAGAGACCAGACCAGATCAGACTAGACTAGATCAGACTAGACTAGACCAGACCAGACTAGAATAGACCAGACCAGACTAGAATAGCTCAGACCATATCAGACTAGCTCAGACTAGACTAGCTCAGACTAGACTAGACCAGACCAGACTAGAATAGCTCAGACCAGATCAGACTAGCTCAGACTAGACTAGCTCAGACTAGACTAGCTCAGACTAGACTAGCTCAGACTAGACTAGCTCAGACTAGACTAGACTAGATCAGACTAGACTAGATCAGACTAGACTAGATCAGACTAGACCAGACTAGAATAGATCAGACTAGATCAGACCAGATCAGACTAGACTAGATCAGACTAGATCAGACCAGTTCTGAACTGTTCATCAGCGACCACACGTGAAGTCCTTCATGAAGGACGATGTTTGACGTGAGCATGAAGAGTGGGAATAAGTTAGTTAGCAGGTGCTGAGCATTACCAGAGTCCTTCTCTAGGTGAGCCCCGCCCCTCGGCAGCCGTCTTGGTAAGGCCTCAGGTATCTGGGACTACCAGGATCAGGTCTCTCTCTGAATGAGCGGCTTCTGGTCCCCATGAAACCTGCATGAATCAGCAGGAAAACCTGAACCAGGTTTATAAAGAGTTTCTCCCTGCAGGTTAGACCTGCACGAGCTTTCACTACACCGCCTTCATTTACGGCGCTACGCAGAGCGCCGGGGCGGGACGCCGTGAGCTCCTCCCACCTTGAGCTCCTCCCACCTTGAGCTGATGCTAAGCTAACTGAGGTTCTGGACACAGGCGGCAGTTTCCTAACAGGTCCTGCAGTACTGCAGATCACACCTGGGGCCTTTAACGCAGGACTCTGGAGGACACGTAGAGACCTGATCTCGCTCACACACCTGCTCCTCGCCGCCGCCACGACATCTGAAACTGACGTCAGTGGAGCCACACGATTGGCTGAATGTGTTTCCCGGCTTTCTAGCCAGACGATTGGCTTTCTAGCGGGAGGGGCGGGACCTGTGCATACAGCTGCCATCTTTGGCGTTAAGGAGTTTCACCACAGAGTTCCGTTCAGGACTCTTTAAGTGCTAAAACATCTGTGGTGTGAATTCTCCTCGACTTCAGTCGGTCTTATTTGTCACCTGCCGCTTCAGTTTTAGTTTCACTTTAGTTGGCGGGAATCAGCTGCTCAGCTTTGTGAACAGGGCTCCTATAATATTTCTCCTCCTTCCTGTGATCAGTTTCCCTGAAGGTCTCAGCTGCGTCCTCACGACCTTCATGATGTGAAACATTAGAAATCATTCCTTCCTGGTCTCTTCTGGTTCAAAGCGCAGGAAATGTGACACACCTGGACAGGTGTGACTGAAACAGAGCACTTTCTAACTCGTAGCCTCAGTGAGGACAGAACAGCTGAAGGTGTTGCTGCGTCTCCTCCTGCAGGAGCACCGCTCACTGACTCAGTTCCAGTTCCTGTCCTGGCCGGATCACGATGTTCCCCACGAGCCTGCTGGAGTCCTGGACCTGCTGGAGAGAGCCAGAACCAGGCAGGGGACACACACCTCCCCTCTGCTGATACACTGCAGGTACACACACAGAGACAGACACAGAGACACACACACACAGACACACACACACAGAGACAGACACGGAGACACACACACACAGAGACAGACACGGAGACACACACACACACAGACACACACACACAGACACACACACACGAGACACACACACACAGAGACACACACAC